GGCACTCCTGGATCTGGCCATTAGTGAGTATAGTGGACTATTATACCACTGTTTAAGCTCAAACAGTTTGAGAAATCTTAGGCAGCTATCATATGGGGCCAAGGGGTGATGAAAATGTGTTTTTAAAAACTGTTACATGATCCTGAATAGGTTGAGGGGCTACCTTCTCTCAGTGCCAGATGTTTGCTTCTCTTGAAACTATGTTTCTATCTAAAACTCTCAATCAGTTTGTCCCCAAAATACCTACCCCTATTCTAGAATCTCATTGTGAGCTCCAAGACAAAGCGTCGCTTAATACTACTGGTCTTGGTCCTACAATAGCATTAACTAATAAAATTCCCCACAGCTGTCCCATGCTTGAAAATTTTCCTTCTTTGGAGGAGTGCATTCTCCAGGCGTATCTGTGCTTACTATTTAAGCTGCTGCTGTCTTGACCTCATGCCAGCTTGATTCTGAGCTGGTTTAAGAAAATCCTGTCCAGATGGAGGCAGTTTGGCAAAAGCTTGCAAGGAATTCTGTCTGGACCTCTGGCTACCTCTGGACAATTCCTCTGCTGCTTTTCCCTCCAGACTTCCTTCTTTTCCAGGAAAGCCCCTGCCAAAGTGTATACCCTTTTCTCTATGCTTTTGTGCATATCCATCCATCTACACAGATATAAACTTCTCTCTCTCTCCCTCTCCCTCCCTCCCTCCCTCCCTCCCTCTCCCTCCCTCCCTCCCTCCCTCTCTCTCTCTCTCTCTCTCAAAACAGAGATATGTACATATACATGTAGTTATCTTAAAAGATTCAAGCATAAAAATGCAGATGTGTGCATTCATTTTTTTTTCTTTAAAAATGTTCCTTTTTTCTAGCATGCAGTCTATTTGTTTCTATATTTCCCTTTACCAGCACTCTGAAATAACATCCAAGGGGAAACTACTCAAGAAAAAATGTCAAGGGGTTTTTGTTTGTTTCTTTTAAAGTTTCTGCCGAGATTTCAGTCTGGTAATTTTCTCTAGGTTAAATTCTATGTTAAGAACTTCATTCTTAAGTATTAGAGTATACTATTTCAGCCACGCTGGTAATGTGAAGTATGGAAATGCATGATAAGCACTGGCTCAGTTAGCCTCCACCAATTGCTCTAGCCCAGATAGATAGCAAGCATTTGAGGTGACAAAGCAGAGAAAAGTGTACCATAATGTCATTTTGAGAGTGAGTTGTAGATTAAGAAAGGCAACGTTGTCCTGTTTTCTAGAAACTGTGTCCATCTGTTCTGGCAATGGAGCAACTGGGCTTTGTGTGAAAGTTCTGTATCCCAGAGATTGGGGTGGAAGAAGGACTTGGACTATATCATTGAACTGGACACAGGGGACTGAATGCCTATTCTTGCTGTGCTATAACTTTAGTAAGTTGTTTCACTATGTCTTTAATATTTCTGTTCCTTTAGAGCACGGGTCTTCAAACTTGGCCCTTTTATGACTTTGGACTTCAACTCCCAGAATTCCTCAGCCAGCTATGCTGAGTTGAAGTCCACAACTCATAAAAGGGCCAGGTTTGAAGACCCCTGCTTCAGAGTGATATAATTGCTCTTACCATTCTCCTGTCTTGGTCCTGCAGTTTCTTATACAATATAGTTCATGCTCAACCTCCTCTATCATGGTGCTCTACGGCTGCTATACTTTGCTCTCTAGGAATTATGGGATTGTCATTCAATCCATCTAAGACAGACATGTTAAACTCGCGATGTCACATGACATTGCGCAACATATTGGAGCTTTTTCGCCATTGCTGGCAATGGGGTAGGCGTGGTTTCCCGATGATGCGTTTGACCCGCAGGCAGGCAGTTGGACACCCCTGATGTAAGAGCATCAAACTAGAAAAGATTGACATTGTTATTTAACCATGGAACTGGAAATGCTAGATTTTCTATCTAGTTTGTAGGGAAGGGGATGTTGTTTATATATTTACATTTAAAATCCATTCAGTGGCCTAGCAAACCTTTTTTATGGCTTCAGTCATTGAGCTATCCATGTTTCCTGGTAGGTTCCGGGTAGGTAAAAATTAACTGATAATCTAACTGGGATCGTCACTTTACCACTTAATCACAGTGATTGCCATATTTGATCAAAATTCAACATAGAATTTAAAAGGCCACAAAGTTCCCCATGAGAGAGTGCTGGTGTGATAAATCTAATGTAATAAAATCCAAGGAATATGGAGAAAAGAATTTGAGGTGGTCAGGATAATAATTTAATAGCTAAACAGCTTATGTAATGATGCAATGATAGGAATGATTCAGCAGAGTCTGTGTCCCTTTAAGACATGGATGTCGAAGGTAGATTATAAGGTGGGCTTGCTTAGAGAGGATGAGAATTTGTTAAAACAAATTAGAGATCAAAGTCGAACCCACATTAAAAGAATTTATGGTGCCTTGGTGGAATTGTACTCAGAAGCAGAGCTAGTTAAAGATTGTATGGTTAAGTGGGCACAAAATTTTGATGAACAAATTTTATTAGATACTTGGGAGATTATTTGGGTGAGGAATGTTAAATTCATGCAAGCCCAAAATTTACGGGAAAATTTTTATAAAATGTTTTATAGATGGCACCTTGATCCACAAAAAATGTCTCGTATGTATCCAAACCTGCAGCCTAAATGTTGGAGATGTGGTTGCTCGGATGCTACTTATTATCATATTTGGTGGTCATGTAAAAGTATTAAAGCTTTTTGGATTAAGATATGGTGGAATATTCAAAGAATTTTTAAAAGAAGGATAAAATTTACTCCACAATTGTTTTTGTTGGGTATTGTTTCTGATTGTGATGATAAAGAGATTATTTTAATGTTAAATTTAATTACTGCAGCTAGGTTGTTAATAGGGCAATATTGGAAGAAGGAATTTTTGCCTACTTTGCAAGAATGGTTTTTTAAAGTTTCCTACTTAGTGGAAATGGCAAAAATTTTGGCTTTCTTGAAAGATCAATCGCAAGAGAAGTATCTTTTGGTGTGGAAAAGATGGATAAATTTTATACAATATAAGTATGATATAAGGAAATATTATTTAGCTTTTGAATAATTTATATAAGTTTAAGATATTATTTAGAAGTGTAATTGTTATTATTCTTTAATTTTTTATTTTTTTTATTTCTTTTTTATTTTCTCTTTTGTTTTTCCTCTTTTTGTTTTTTTATATATAATGGAGTTAAAGTATTTTACAATTTGTTTATTGAATGTAATTATATTTGCTTAAGGTTTATTTGGGTTTAAAACTTTTTTTTCTTTTAAAATCTAGTTAAGCCTGTATTCAGCTCTGGGAAGAATGGGGGAGGGTTTTGGGGTGGGTTGGGAGGGATTGGGGAAGGGGTTTTTATTGTAAAATTTAAAAATTTTTTAATAATAATAAAAAGACATGGATGTCAAACTCGCTGGCCTGATGGTGAAAGTACCAAGCTAGAAAACAGGTGACTGGCAGTTCTAGACCTGCCTTAGGTATGAAAGGTGGCTGGGTGACTTACTTACTCAGCTGAACCCACTTCAAAAGGTTGTTGTGGGCAAAATCAGAGGAGGAAGGAATGAAAGGTATGCTCACCAACTTGAGTTCAATAAATAAATAAAGGATGAGACCAAAAGACCAATAGCTAAACTTTGTGTTATGTTAATATGAGACATTTATTAACAACTGCCCTTTTCTGGTAAGGGAGAATTACGAGAAGACCGGTGGTGGGATTCAACTGGTTCACACCACTTTGGCAGAACTGGTAGCTAATTTTTTGTTGCCCAGGCCCAGAACAAATTTCCAGAAGCGGCATCCACACAGAGAACCAGTTGTTCACATATTTGAATCCCACCACTGGAGAAGACCCATTAGTAGCTCAACTGATTGTCCCAATTCATCCAGGGAGGTGAGAATGTGCAAGAAAGAGGCAGCCTTCCAGTCAATCAGCCTTGTGTATTGATTAAGGGATGATTGGTAGGCAGGGAAAGGAATAACTCTCTGACCCAAATTAAACAGGCAGATCAACCCACCCACACATGGGAACAAACTTCCATACAACTGGCTAAGGTCGAAAGATGTGTCTCCACATTTCATTGGGGATCTAAGGTCGTCAAGATGCTTTCAGTCATTCCTATCCCAGGCCAGACCACTAGCTTCAACAGCAAGGTCAGGTATGGCTCCACGAGGACTTCTGGAGGAGAACCTAATGGAAAACAATTGTCAGAAGTGATTAGCTGTATAATGTTTCAAAGAAGAGTTCTGAGAATAAACACCAATCTTATTTTTAGTCAATAAAGTCAGGTTTGGCTTGTAAACATGAATAAGTAAAACCAACCTGGATGTGTTTCGAAGGATACATGTATTTTGGAATACTGATTTGTGGATAGCAATGCCACTTCCATATCCTATGCCACAACTTGGAAAATAGTCTTGTGATCAGATCATCCCTTAATTTACCAGCAGTCTAATTACCAGCCACATATTGGCTGCTCAGACTTTGCCTCTAGGATGTTCTCATCATTGCTTCTTGGTTGCTAAGACTCTCTAGGTCTGTGAGCTGCCACCTGTTGTTAATCTAGCCTTGTTTAATCCATTCTGCTCTGTGTCAGCAGTTCAAAAGGGCACTGTTAGTATTTTTTGCCAACTTCAATTAACATGAGATTTTGGAGGCCCCCCTCTGATCTCATTTCATTTGCCATGAGTCAGGCACAAAATAGACAGATTTCAGTTCAGAGCAGAGAAGAGACAGTTCATTGCAACTAGGAATGACAACAATAATAATATTTATGTGGCTCTACTCTGCCTGCGCTCTGGATGTTTGTTCATTTCCAGCATTTTTTTTTGTCTGTTTAATTTTTGTTTGCAGCACTAAAAAAATTCACACTACCACCCTCAGCTCCAGGACAGGAAAAGGTGATACATGCAATAATTAATTTTCCCCCCAAAAAATTAAAGGGAAAAAAAAGAGCAAGCAAGCAAGCAAGAAAGACAAGGAACAAAGCAATCTGTTTTTTTGTTTTGTTTAATATTATAATGTAATGAATTTGCAGTACATATCTGTATAGGCAGTAAAATTGTATGGCACAACCTCACAATGCAATTTTGTAGGCTTTCCTCTCAATCCATTGCTTTACTTGTCAACATTTTTTGAACATATATTTTCATATATTCTGCCTCAGGCCATAAAGCTAAAGGGAAAAAAAAGTTGCATTTATACAAGGTTACAATATTTTACAACAATGCAATTGACTAAGATTGTTCTCTTATGATTTTGTTTTCTCCCATTCTCCTTTTCAGTCACTGCACATCCCAAAACAGATATATTATTACACATTGAAAACTGCCCTTCAAGATCAGTAGTACAAAGGTCCTAGCACTATTTATTTATGCGGAAGGAGGACTGGATAGTGGGTCACCCACAATTTGTTAATAAAGAGTTGGGGCAGGATAAAAAGTCACCTTGCCTTCCCTGAAATGCCAGCCATGAAGCTGAAAGCAGTCAAAAAGCTTTCATCTAGGTTCCATTTGGGCTGATTTTATTTTTATTTTTTTGAAGAAAAAAAACACACCTCCAAATGTTTGTTTTTTCCTGTGTCAGTCAAAGCAGCAAAATAAACAAAGTTCTCAGCAGCTGTGTCTTGTTGATTATTTTTTCAAACCATTTTCCAGGAAACTACCTTTTTCCACTGTTGTTTGTTTTCAAATTGCTTTGCAATGAAACCTTGGGGTATGATTTGAGACAAGGCAAAATCATTAAATGAGTGAAGGAAAAAAAAAGACAGATACAAGAATGCCCTGTAAAAAAAAAAAAGGAAAAAAAACCCCTTCATTTAGCCCAGGGATGTCCAACCTTGGCAACAGTTAAGAGTTGTGGACTTCAACTCTCAGAATACTCCTGCCAGCCATGTCCACAAGTGTTACAGTTGGCAAGGTTGGAAACCACTGATTTAGCCTAGGCTGTATTGCCTTTACCAGTACTTCATTTACCAATGGAATAGAAGGTAAGATAGTCCCAGCTTTCCTCATCCCCCAAGAAAATTTCTTATTGATTGCTCCTTCTACCCAACCTTCTGGCCTATAGTATGACAGTTGAAAACAGCTGCTACTGTTGGGCATTCAGAAAGCCTCTGGTACAGTAGTGGGATTCAGCCAGTTCGCACCGGTGTGGTAGAACCTGAGTTCGGAGAACCGGCTTAATGCACACTGCTTCCTGAAGTCCAGTCTAGGCCTCGGAGGCCTGGAAGAGCCCTCCCAGGCCTAGAACAGCCCACCGGAAGTTAATGGATGCCACTTCCAGAAGTCCGCTCTAGGCCTCGGAGGCCCAGGCTTCCATCCAATAAGATTCAATTTCAGGTATTTCAATCCCACCACTGCTCTGGTGCTCACAATCAGTATTCAGTACAGCTTCAGCTCTTGTGCTGTTGCCATTAATGGACTTCTCTTGTTCAGGTTGCACTTCAACAAAAGGGTTCCACTGAAGTTACAATACTGTTAAATGCTATCTTTGATATCATGGGCACATGTGCACACGGTAATCCTATGTTGAATTTTCCCCCTCTTCCCATCTTTGTCATATGTTTATTATTTCTTTGTCCATCGTCCACTGTTGGCCAGTGTTGTGGAGTAAAAGGCAAAAAGAGTCCTAGATAATTCTGCCTATTAATGCAAGGAAGTTGGAGACTTAACACAATGGGCTACTCCATCATTGGTTTTTCAAGGAATTGATACATACAGTACCATATCGGGTTGAACATCACACAGATCCTGAAACACCTTTTGAAGTATATGCTGTTGATGGAACACTTGAATTGTTCACATTCAAAGCCACTTGGGAACTAACATTGACATGAGATGAACAGATAGTAAAAGAACTTAGCCAAAAATACTCTTGCCTGCTTTAAAGCTTTGAAAAGCTGAAAAGCTGACTTAGCACGAACAGCTCAAGTAGCAGCATGATTCTACTTCCAGTCCTTTTTACCAGCTGAAAACAAAGAAATTTGGGCAGAGCTAGTATCTCCCTTTTATGAGTGATCCTCTCCTTCATCCCAAAGATGGCAAACTTAGCTGTTATAAAATAAACATACCTGGAGTCAGCATGCACACAAATGTGTTTTCATATGAATGCACACTCAGAAACACAAAAACATGATTAGGCATGGATCATGGATAGCCTTAAAGTCATTTGATGGCTTATTGATTTCCAGTCATAGAAAGTAATGACATCACAGTTTGGGATGGTTCAATCTTGATTTCATAGATTTTTTAAAAAAAGAATAGTGAGGTTTTTTTGGACAGTCTTTAAACACAGCACAGCATGTGTAAAAGAGTGGCTCTTTCATTTTATGAGCATCTTAAATGCTTTTCTGAAGGTAGCACTCCTATTGATAACTTACAACATTTTCTTCATATTTACCCCACGGGGCAACAAGTCTAATGATGTTTTGCATTCCCTCTGAATCTAATGGAATTTAAAAGTACTGACTAATTGAAAAATGCATCAGGTCTCTAAAGGAATAAAGTTTAGGCCTTTTTACTCTGCATGCTACAGGCAGACATCTTATTCCCACAGCTAGTCAGAAATACTAAGAAACGTTTTGGGATTAACAATGTATGTGATAGGAGGAGGAGGAGGAGGAGAGGTCTCCCTAACTCTCAAGTATGTCACTGCTTTTTCTACTCCATTTCTATAAAATGAATGCATCCTCTCTCTTGCCCCTCTTCAGATTTGCCCAAGATTTTTTCTTCCTTCTGGAATTCTATGTACTTGGTATGTTACGGCTGTTCCTTTACATGCATCCCCGCTGCAGGCTTCCCTTTCCAGGATGGTTTGTATGTGCACATTCATGATAGCATGGCTATCTGCAGATCATACCCCTGGTGGGAGGGTGCTTGTGCCTGAAGGCTGGCGAAAGTCTTGCTTTTCCTCTGAAGCCCATTAAAATCTATAGTATCTGAACAGAAAAGCCTGCAAAGCAACCGCTCGCCAGAAAAGGAAAGACCAGTAGTTACTAACCCAACAAACGCTTCTTAAAAGCCAGTTAAGACAGTTTTAAGCATTAAGTTTCTCTTCTCCAGTGGATGTGAATGCCTGATGGAGAAACCGCAAAAACCCAAGCACCGTTTCAGCTTTTTGAACAGAATCTCAGCTGGCTGGACCTAAATCCTCTTTGATCCTTTTTTTAAAAAGGGCAACCATATGGAAATTGGGAAAACGTGATTACCCTGATGAATGGGAACAACATGAGGCATGCCTGTGTCTGCTACTTCGCTTTGGGCTGGAAGAAAAAGAATTTCCAACTAAGAGAGGAGGGGGGGGGGAACTTCTTGCTTCATTTCTTCAAGATAGGCCTTTGAGTTACCTCAACTGAGTGGGGAGGAACTGGGATTGAAGAAAGAACAACTTGACAGCGATAGTAGAAAGGCAGTATTTAAAGTGGATTATTACTGATGGCAGCGGGCATATGATTTCTTTGGAACCATCAAGCTCTTTAGTTATTATTCCAAAGTTTGTATGTTAAATATGTCAATCTAAAAAAGAAAATCCTATAAGTTGGTCTGCTTTCCCTGATGTGGGAAGTTAGGGAGACGGTCTCCTTTATTGCCCACAGATTTTCTCCCTGTTTTGTTCGTCACTGAAACCAACTATCAGGCTTATGGTTAGGCAACCTTTAATTTATGGATAATTAATTAATTAATTTAATTGCCACAATTGGTTTGCTGATGTTGCAATAAATGCATTTGTGTGTAATGGGGGGACATGGTACCAAAGTGTTCCAAATACTAGGTAACATATAAAAAAGTTTGACTTGGTTTACACTAGCATAGGAGTCCTTGGCTTGCTGTCAGAATCAGTTCATGGGCTTATGGTTGCAAAATGACACTATGGAGATGTACATCTTTTTTTGTAACTACTATTTAAAGATAAAGGTTTCCCTGGTCTAGTTGTGTCCAACTCTGGGGGGTGGGGGTGGGATGCTCATCTCTGCTTCTTAGCCAAGCAAGCCAGTGTTGTCTGAAGACACTTCTGTGGTCCTGTGGCCAACATGACTATACACTGAGGCACTCAGACTGCTGTTAGCTTCCCATTGAAGTGGTACCTGTTTGTCTACTTGCATTTGCATGCTTTCAAATGGTTGGGTGGGCAGGAACTGGGGCAAATAATGGGAGCTCACTCCATTGTATGACCCAGACTGTCACTTTTCAGCTGACAAACTCAACGTCATTAACCACTGAGCCATTGTGCTCCCAATTTTTATTTAGAGATGGCATACTCTTAGCTTGCCTTTCATTGAACCCACAGTTGACTCATGCCTTCACTACTGCATCCTTTGGCTAGAAGAGGAGATTGAAATGACAGAATAAAAGAAAAATGACATAAAGCAACTCAGTAACTCACACAGTTCACGTGGAAGATAAGGTGTGGATAGATTTTCTGTTGCCTTAGGGCAACTTTGCTGTAGGGTACCTGAATCAGGACACCTTTTACTCAAGATGCATTCCGTCTCCCCAGTCTTTGGCATCAGCCATCTACAGTGATAGCAGCCACATGCTTTTTGGTGCTGGAGATCATACATAAATCTCTTCTGCTCCATTAAAATATAAGGGTTTCACAAGAGCTCACATGGGAGCAATTAGCCAGAAATTGTGGGTTGGCCTTTGTTTTCTTGTTTGTTTGACAGAGAGAAAGAGAAAGAAATCAGATGAACTTCCAGATGGAGGGCTCCTAATGCTCCCAATCAAGAAACCCTGTGCAGCTATTTCCCCCCCCCTTCCACTTTAATAGATTTTCTGGAGTCAGAAATGTGAAGGGGGGAGGGGGAAGGGGGGGAGGGAGGATCTCATGGGAAAATACAGGACTATTTAAAAAGAAAGACAGCACGTTTTGGAATCCTCCCCCACCCCACCCCGATATTACTGTGGAAAAGGCCAAACGCTTACATGATGGAAGCCTTGGTGGGAGGCAGCTTTCATGCTAGATAGAGCAGGAACAACAGAAAACTGGCAATCAGGAGAACAACAGCACAAGGGGAATTGAAAACTCAAGTTTGTCTGATGCAGGAGAAATATCCCCTCTTGACTTCCACATTCCTGTTCCTGGGGAGGAGGGGTGGGGGTGGGGAAAGGCCTACATGCTTAAAACACTCCAAATACGGCAATCGGCACCATGCCATTCTCCCTAAGAAAGCAAAAAGTGCTGCATTCAGACCTCTGAGGAGGGCGCACACTGCCCCCAGTCCAAGAGCAGAGGGTTTGGGTCATCTGTCCTGCTTGAGCTGTCAGTTTCTTGAGGGCAAAAGCAGCAGCCCTGTCATGTTGCCCACGATATGGCAGCACTGTGCTCCTTGGCTTTCATCCGCAGGGCTGCAATGCTGGAAGACTTGCGGTCGGGCTCGCCGTTTAACTCGTAACCATTGATGCTGGGGCTGATGCCGGCACTGCCAAAGAGGCTGCCCATGTGCGTCTGCCCCACGTGGCTGCCGGGACCTGAGACGCTCAGGAATTCGGAGACTCCTCCGGTGGTGTGCGGATGAGCATGGGGGGACATGCAGGAAGGCACCGAGTCACAGGGCACTACGCAGGCAGGCACAGGGGAGGCGGCACCATTGTTGCCGATCCAGGAAGGATTCTGTATCTGAGATGGGGAGGGGGGGAGTGAAGGAAGGAAGGAAGGAAGGAAGGAAGGAAGGAAGGAAAGAAAAAAAGGAAAGGAAAATTAGTTCATATTGGCTCATCCCATATCGCAAAAGTCAAGAGCAGGACTTTACTAAAGATGTGGACAGATTGTGCATTTACTGTAATATGTCTTTTTTTCAGTCAAGCTATCCCTGTTTCAGCGTACATAGTATCTGTTTTAGTGTTGAAGGTGTAAGAGATGGATGAATTTAGAGGAAATGGGGGGGATGGTTAGTGGTGCATTGGTTAGAATGCAGTATTGAAGGCTGATTCTGTCCACAGCCCAGAGTTCAATCCTGACAGGGCTCAAGGTTGACTCAGCCTTCCATCCTTCCGAGACTGATATGAGGACCCAGATTGTTGGGGGCCTGTATGCTGATTCTGTAAACTGCTTAGAGCAGGGGTGTCAAACTCAATTTCACTGAAGGCCACATCAGCATTGCAGTTGCCTGGGGTGGGTGGGTGGGTGTGGCCAGAGGGGATGCAGCCTAATGGGTGGGCGTTGATGGAGTGGGCGTGGTCTACTGGGTGGGCATGGCCAGTTCTACATCATTCACGTCAAAGGTGCCTATAGGGGGGCTGGGCAGGAGTGGGACAGATCTGAGGGTCTCTGGCAGAAGGGGGTGGGACCGGGGCAAGTGCCAAGGCATGGTCCACCAGGGCAAGTGCCAAGATGGTCACCACAAAATTGTACATTGGCTCTCGGTTGGCCTGGGCCAGGGCCAAGGCAACGGGGGCTGTTCCCTCACTGTCTCCAGGATGGCTTCGCAGGCCACATGAAACCACTTTGCAGGCCGCATCCGGCCCCCGGGCCTTGTGTTTGATATGTCTGGCTTAGAGAGTGCTACAAAGCACTATGAAGTGGCATATAAATTTAAGTGCTATTGCTATCATGGGGAATTTAGTCCTAATGAAGAGATTTAGCCTTAGCCAAACAAACTTCATTATAGTTTAGGTTGCAGCCTCACAAAACAGGTAAGCAAAAACTACTAGGCTTACCCAGATGCAAGGATGCAGCTTCGGTGCACAACACACCACACTGTGAAACAACTGCCATTGGTTGTAAGGACAAACACTATAACGGGTTGCAATGGAAATGCTACTGTTATGTACCCATGCAAAAGTAAACAGAATGGTGTTGGAATTTTCCACTTGTTCAGAAATATGTAAATGACCAAATGGGGATTAGCCAATGCCACAGCATGTTGAAGGGTAGGGTCTTGTCTGAAATTGACTATACCAGGGCTAGGCAACCTTGGCTCTTTTATGACTCGTGGACTTCAACTCCCAGAATTCTGGGAGTATACAGATAGTCCTCTCTTATAACCTGGACTGTACAGATAGTCCTCTCTTATAGGCTGCCTTATTTAGTGACCATTCAAAGTTATGATGGTGTAAAAAAAAACAGCTATGTGACCAACTGTGTTCCAAAGTCATCTGATTGTCATTGGCTCAGACACAAAATACACATTTCCATGAGAATGCTTCGTTTTGGGCAGACCCAGGAAGATACCCAAGCTCCTCTCTAGTTCCAAGCCCAGAAAATTTGAATCCTTTAAAAGACAAACGTAGCTCTGTGGTGGAAACGGAAGGAGAGTGTGGGAATGGAGGCTGGGAGAACAAGAGACAAAGTCTGGAATTTTCAGAAAAAGAGAAGTACAGGTAGCCCTTGACTTACCCCCACAACTGAGACCAAAATTTCTGTTGCTAAGTGAGACATTGGTTAAATGAATTTTGCCCCATTTTACGACCTTTCCTGCCACAGTCATTAAGTGAATCGCTGCAGTTTTTAAGTGAGTGACACGGTTGTTAAGCGAATCCGGCTTCCCCATGGACCTTGCTGGTCAGAAGGTCGCAAAAGGCAATCACATGACCTTGAGACCCAGCAATGGTCATAAATATGAGTCAGCATTCAAATTTTGATCATGTGATCATGGGAACGCTGCCGTATTTCCCCGAAAATAAGACCCAACTGGAAAATAAGCCCTAGCATGATTTCTCAGGACACCTGTAATAAAAGCCCCACTCCAAAAATAAGCCCCAGTTAAGACTGTCAGCTAGACGGATGCATTTAGTACCGTATTTCCCTGAAAATAAGACCTACCTGGAAAATAAGCCCTAATGCGTGTTTTGGAGCAAAAATTAATATAAAACCCGGTCTTATTTTGGGGAAAACAAAGTACAACGATTTTAAATTAATAATAATAATAATAATAATAATAATAATAATAATAATAATAATAATAATAATAATAATAATAATAATAATAGTAAAGTTGGAAGGGACTTTGGAGGTCATCTAGTCCAACCCCCTGCTCAGGCAGGAAACCCTATACGATCTCGGACAAATGGCTGTCCAGTCTCTTCTTAAAAACTTCTAATGTTGGAGCATTTACCACTTCTGGAGGCAGGTTGTTCCACTGGTTAATTGTTCTAACTGTCAGGAAGTTTCTCCTTAGTTCTAGGTTGCTTCTCTCCTTGCTTAGTTTCCACCCGTTGCTTCTTGTCCTGTGTTCAGGTGCCTTGGAAAATAGCTTGACTCCCTCATCTTTGTGGCAGCTCCTGAGATATTGGAACACTGATATTATGTCCCCCTTCGTCCTTCTCTTCATTAAACTAGACATACCCAATTCCAGCAGCCGTTCCTTATATGCTTTAGCCTCCAGTCCCCTAATCATCTTTGTTGCTCTTCTCTGTACTCTTTCTAGAGTCTCAACATCTTTTTTACAGCGCGGTGACCAAAAGTGGATGCAATATTCCAAGTATGGCCTTACCAAGGCATTGTAAAGTGGTATTAACACTTCACGTGATCTTGATTCTATCCCTCTGTTAATGCAGCCTAGCACTGTGTTGGCCTTTTTGGCAGCTGCAGCACACTGCTGGCTCATATTTAATGATTGTCCACTAGGACTCCGAGGTCCCTCTCACAGTTACTACTATTGAGCAAAGTACCCCCTATACTGTAATAATAGGGACTTCCGGTAGATCTGCGCGCGCGATGGCGGCTACTTTGTAGCCGTCCTCCTGGGTAAGTGTTTGAATCACTATGAACAGTGGACATCAGCTGTTCAGCGGTTCAAAATCCCCCTCCCGGGCAAAGGGGGGGGAAGAGGGTTGTCTGAATAGTGGTAGAGCCTCTTATGCACCCCCAAGGCTTTTTGGGGGGGGGGTGAAGAGAGTGCTCCCACGGAGTTCAGACTGTCTCCGCTTCCCAGCTGCTTTTGTCCCTAGGGACAAAACAAGCTGCTGCAACCACCTCCGCGATTAAAGTGAACTGGTGAGTTTTTCTTACAGACGGACAGAGCTGAGTAGAAGATTTAGCTTTTGCTTTCTTTGATTTTATTTGGATTTTAAGTTTAAAGACTTACTTTTACTTTTATATTCCCTTTATTTATTTATTTATTTATTTATTTTTCCTTTGTTGAAAGGGAAAGTAAAATGGCGATCGGCAGGCTTTTCAGTGTTTTTTTTTCCCTTTTTTTTTTTAATGACTGGAACGGAATGTAGACTTGATTATTTATAATGATTTTTTGATGTTGGGTTTGGATTTTAGAAGCATTATTATTTTTGTTTAACTTCTTTGTTTTGTTTTTTGTACTTTTAAAAGTACTTTTAAAAAATGGAATGGATTTTTTTCTATTTAATCTTTTTTTCTTCTTCCTTTTTCCTTTTTTTTAACTCCTTTCTTTTTATTATAATGATCTCCTTTTGAAGGATTTTTTGATTTTGGGGAGTTAATCTCTCTCTTTTTTTTTTTTGCTTAATCTTTGTAATTTTTAAGAAGGAGTAAAGATTTTTTTAAGATGGCTCCAAAGCGTCCAGGAATTTCTACAGTTCCTAAGGTGGTTTCTTCTTCGGTGTTATCATCAGCACAACAACCTAAATCAATAGCTTCACCCTCTTCCTTGGTACAGCCAATAATGGTGAAGGACTTGCAAGATATGATGGGAAATGTTATATCTCAAATTAGGGGAGAAATGAAAGAGATTTTAGAGGAAAATAATAAGATTTTGAGGCAAGAGATAGTTTTGGCTTTAAAAGGAGTTGCCTCTGTTCTTGAAAAGCTGAACTCTCGCGTAGAAGAGGTGATTGAAAAAGTGGAATTGATGGAGGGAAAATTTGAAAGCATGGAAAAAGAGATGGAAAATTTTCAAGATGAGATTCTTATGCTTCAATATAGACAAATGGAATATGCTTTAAGAATCAGAGGTTTGAGAGAGTCTGTGCAAGGAGATCTGAGCAAGATGGTTGCAAAGGACTTTGCTGTGATTTTGAATAAAGAAAAAGAGGAAATACTTAGTGAAATTGAAAAATCATTTAGAGTTAATTCTGTGGTGGCAGAGCAAAAGAATTTGCCAAGAGATGTGGTAATTTACTTTGGGAAAAGATCCCTGCGCAACGAAATTATACAAGCTTTTTATAAGAAGAGGTTTCAAATTGCTTCACAAGATGTTATAATTTTAAAGGAGATCCCATCTAAAATTTTAAGAAGAAGAAAGGAGTTTGCTTTTTTAGCAGATGAACTTAAAAAGAGACGAATCTTGTTCAGATGGGATGTTCCGACTGGAATGGTGGTGAGTTACCTGGGGATACGTTATAGACTTAATACTGTTTCTAAAGCAAAAGACTTTTATACTTTGGTCCTGGGGGTATGTTCATCGCCATCTATTAAGTTTAAAGCTTTGGAAGAAAAGAAGGTAGAATTGCAGTCTGAAGAGCCTATACTTATGAAAATTGGGAAATCTCAGTCTGAGGGGCCTCAACAAGTTGAGATGGAGGAGCAGAGGATAACTTGTGCAACATATAACTGTAAAGAAAAGGAACAACAGAAGAAGGTCAAGGAAGCCTCACAAGTATTGGCTTCTGAATCTGTGGGAGAAGTAGGATTTATAAATTTTTTGGAGCAACCTTTAAGGGTAGAATTGCAGTCTGAAGAGCCTATATTAATGAAAAATGGGA